TGTGTGTGTGTGTGTGTGTGTGCTGTGTGTACACCCACACACGTGGCAAGGTTAAAATGTAACAACTTAATTTATTATAAGTTTAATAATTATATATATATATACATATATATATATATGCAAAAAATAAATATGTTACAAAAAAATATAATATATCGTTGCTTACTATAGGTTCCAAATGTTTGTAAAATGGGATGTTCCATCCACGTAGATTGTGGTTCTTCCATATTTTTGACAGCTTTGTCATAACGTTGATTTGAAATAAAAGGTGGCCACTTGGCTATATTTAAATCTTTGTTCAACCAGGTGTCGGGAACTATTTGAAGACCATCTTCAAATAACACTATCACATAAATCCCTTTCTGGGACATTCTGAGAAAGTGAACACAAATTATATTTTTCCATGTAACAAAGGAAAAACAGCATATTTTTCATTTCCGTATGGCAATTGTACATATTTTCTAGTTACATTTTTCAATGGCCATGATTTTAAATCTGAATATGTATGTACAATGTGAATACCAAGCAATGACGATGGACAAGGAATACTGAATAGTTTCTCTTTTTTCAAAAATTCGAGACCAATAATAACGAGAGTATTGCGTTTTGAACAGTATGCCACATTTTTAATACAAACAATAGCACCACAACTCAGACCACAACAACTGTCTGCAACTGTCCCAGCTTTAAATGTAATTCCGTTATATTGAATAATTTTATATTGTGGACTACGGCAATTTGGTACAAGCGGACCATCACAATGTATTGATGTCAATTTTGGATTTTTCATAACAGAATGTGATAAAACTGTCGATGCACATAAGTTTTTTTCTTTTTCAATGCATCTCCGTACAACCTGTTGTAAAGATTTATCTGCTTTTCTTAAATATCTCTTCAGTATTTGCAAGTAATTTTCAAACTTAAATGCACTGAAGTTTTCAAGAGGTCCAAACCTTTTGACGTCATCAACGAGATGAACAAGGTTGTGAACATTGTGTGATACGTTTTCAATTCCATACAGCTTTATGAATGTTTTTATAAAAAAATGAATCAAATCTTGCGCATAGTTAATATATTCGTGTAACTCTTCTGAAGACAAGATTCTTATGATCACGTGCAATGTTATAAAATGAAAATATATTTCTTTTTTAAACATAGATTTAAAAGCCAAAGGACCGGTATATAGCATTATTAATCTATATTCCGTAGCTTTCCATAATTTGACACAATCAAGTTTTCTAGGCTTTCTAACAAATTCTCCAGGTATGTAACACTTCAACTCGGTAACTAGACGTGTAGAAATTTCGTCAACAGCTTTGTATTGTAACCGGTAACGCAGATCCCCATAAAGCCACAGGTACAATAGTTTTCGCATAATTCCCAAAAATATCAAATGCATACAGTCCAACGGAACATTTGTAACTGGTTTGAAATAAGGTATATTTAACAAACTACACGTTGTATCAGATTTGTGATAATCATCATCTTTCTTTTGCACAAAATCATTATCAGATCTGAGTGGTGCATCAATTTCAGGAAAACACATTCGTTTTCCTATATATTCCCCTTCCGTAGTACACTTGGTACAGCTTGAATATCCTGTATGCCCTTTAACGCATAAAACATATGCTTTGGCTGGTGCGTCACAAATTAATGCTGTAATTCTACAAGATATATTTCGACCGTTGATATATATGCCATTTTCACATATTTCTTTTGCCTCATTCACAAAATCTTGTAAAAAATCGTTAGCGTCTGCTGGTTTTTCATTTCCGTGGTAAATTCCAATTAGGAAAACGTTATTATACGGAAGAACTGAGCCTAAAATAGGCCAAAACTGTTGCTGAGATGACTTAAATAACGGTAGCCCATCAATGTTCACAGCTATGTTAACGCAATTAACATTCTCCTTTATGGAAGCTATTATGTTTTTTACAGGATATAATAAACCAAAATGGTAATATGATCCTGGTACTACTGTACGAATTTCTTGTTGTCTTGGTGTTTTTAAGACAGAACGTGCATCCAATGATAATGTTGAAAAACAAGGATGTTTTTTTAATCTATGTAGCAGTGCCGTTAAAGCTGTATGTGTAATTTGGTGCTGTACAGCCCAGACAGCAAGAACATCTTGCAAATCAAAATCTGTTATATTTTCATTTTCGAATTCCACATTACTTGATTCATAATAAGAAGTGTTAACCAAACTTTCTTGTGAATTCGATTTATCTTCAAATTGTCTGAGCATATCATCATTTTGTACAAATATTTCATTACATTCTCTATTATGCTCAATAGTAATTATTTCAGAATTCACTGTACAGCTATTATTGGAAACTGTTGTACATTTATCATTTACATTATCATGGGATGGAATTTCATATCCAAAAATATTACAAACAATGTCTGACTCTTGTGCAGCTAATCTCCTCAAATGTCGTTTAGATACACATGTTATATCTTTTCTTCGACGTTTTTGACCAATTTCCATTTTTAATATACGTTATATCTGTACAATGATATTTACAATTTAAAACTAGACTAAACAGTGTTAGATAATATTAAGTTTTTAAATTATATTCATAGCTTTCAAATTAAGAGATTTTATCACAGCATCAAAATAACTTTATAAATTTTATACTTCAGATTATTTTAAATTTACATGAAATCAGTAAAAACATAAAATTCAATTTTACCAGTAAAAAAATATCATGCATAATTTAATATATGTATATTTCTTAAATTATTTGAACAATCAAATTTGTCAAAAATTTTAGGCTAATTTTATTCATAATTCTCTCTTATCTATTTACTGCATCTTGGATTGTAACATCAGAAGTAAAAAAAAATAAAAAAAATTCTTGAAATCTACGTCAAAATGTATATTTATTAAATAAAATAATATTTTCAATCGATAGAATAGATTTGTAAAATATTCCGAAAATTCACGTTTTATTTCGGTAATTAATAAATAATTATATATTTGAAATTGAATTATGCCTAACCAAAAAACAGGTTAAACTATACAGTTGTCTAATTGAGATAAATATAATTTTATTCTATTTCGAAATAAAAGGAGAATTGGATCGGTATATTTTAAAAATATACTTTATGAGATGCAAATATTGTTTTATTGCAAAATTTTCATTGTGTTTTCCCGTATCTGACATTATCAATCTATATGTTGAAAATCCATATAATGAGTCGTCAAGAGCCTTAATATATATGTATTTTTAATAATTTATTTTTTAAAACATGAAAACAATCAAGAAAAATGTGTCAAACAAGAGATGCTTTTTGCTAATTATTAACCATATATTTTAAATAATTTCAATATCGATATAATTCGAATATCACCGTCTGTGATAAAATTTCCTCCCAAGTTAATTTTGTAATAGTCAGATGCAAAAATCATTTAGAAGCAAGCTAAACTTCAAACCAAGTAAAAGATATGTCGTCTGAAGAATGCCGAATAAAAAAATTCTGTCCTTATTTTATTTAGAAAATACGATATTTTACAACGAATAAGATTATATTTTTTTCGTTATTATTATTCTTTTATCATTTTCATGTTTTAATTTTAATCATTAACAAACAATAAAAACCTAACAAGATTCCCCAATTGGAACTAAGTAGATATGAGTAAGGCAGATGGGAATCAGCGTGGTTATTGGTACGTATTAATTTATTTCTGAGAAATTTACTTTAT